CTCACAGGGGCTTTCGCAGCCCAGGAGTAATTGAAAATAGCTTCCTATTAACAAAAAAACCCAGATTCTCCCATGAAACAGCTCTTTCTGGGCTACTGTTCCAGATCATGCTGTAATTTGCCTTAATTATTTACACAATGCTTCAGGTGTGTGCAGTGCTCTTTGGCACACTGAACTGAACAGAGGAAAAGCCCTTCCCCAGACAGCTCCCAGCCAGCACATCATGTGCAGCACCAGGCAGGATGGAAAAAGTAAATGTACCTGGCTGCTAATCTGTGCAAATATTCGTGTCAGTTTTTGACATGATTTATTTAAGTAAAACACAGCTCTCATTGACATCCACTGGTTTTGTGATTGACTTGAAAGGAGTCGGGATTGTGCTAGCAACTGATGAGGTTTCATAACATTTATTCATTTCCATTTGCAATTGAAACGTGTTTCCATGTGTGCAAAGGCCTCCATCTGCTCTCTGTAGTTGGTCAGAGTCTTTTGTTTTATTGGTTGTTGTATTTAGTGCTTACTGCTTCCAATTAACACTGCAAGGACAAAAAAAAAAAAAAAAAAATTGTAAGGGTCAGGAAAAAGGAAATTTCCATGATTTTTGTCACATGAGACTTTAAAAAGAGCCTGAAGCTAAATACTGCAACTACTGTTCACTGGTTCTCTTTATAGTTAGTGGTCTTTATAAATGCAAAAACCCTACTTAGACATTCAGGTAATTCATTTGCCCTTTCCTGCACCCTTCTTCCCTCCGGCAGACTGTAACCTGGAATTTGTCGTCCAGGTCTTGCAGTCAATGTATTACAGGTGGAATTCAAAAGGAGCTGAAATCCAAATTATGATTGCATCTCAGCACATTTGAGATTGTTTGTGATAATTAAGATGAGTTTTAAAAGCAAGAATTTGGAAGTATGTCTTACAGTCAAACACTACTTAATGAACTGTAAAACACAGTTTACAGTGAAAAAAGGATTTTCAGATGTTCTTAAGTTTAAGATGCTAACTTAGGATCTGGATGAGGAACTGGGTGAAATGGAGTGCGCCCTTAAAATAGTGAAAGTTGTACTGCAGGAAAACACCAACCCAGGTGTAAGGCTGAAGTTCAAAAATGGGCCCCTGAACTTTTTCTACTGACTACAACAAAACCAGTACTTCATTACTTGTGCAGATGCCCTATTTGTTAGGTCACACTGCTTCCCAAGTAATCTTCAACAGTAATCACCCAGTGTTATTAAAGGCTAAGAAATTGTAATTCATGAACTCTGTATACCAATAAATTGTCTGACTCCCTTTGGTAATTCCTATAGCTTTCTTCTAAGAGTATTGTACTTTAATGTTATCACTGGGGATCTTCAAAAATGTAAGTTCACATGTTCACCTATGAACATATTTATTTGTTTTCACACACTCATGCACAGACCTGAGAGTGTGAATGTCTGTGTGGCCTCTCTGAGTTCGTAGGGTTTCCAGCGAACAACTTGTGTAACTGCCTGGATGATGCACAGCCTCCTGCTGTGAGCAGGGAGACGGGCTGCCTTTTTCCCATTTAGAATCGTGTGAACAAGCAGAACGTTCCAGTGCAGTTTTTATCGAGTGCATACTGGTGGTCAGTGTCTGACTCTATGGCAGAGGAACTTGAGGTTTGGTCTTCTGTTATCTACGATAGCGCTGCTGAGTTGTGTGAAGGACGTGTGCCTTTTGCATGACAGGTACGTGATCCTTAAATGGCAACAGATGTAAATCTACCTTCAGCCCCCAAAGTATGGTATGGTATGGTATGGTATGGTATGGTATGGTATGGTATGGTATGGTAT